GGAGCCTGCTTGAAGCGGGTCCTTGCCTTTCTTTGGTATGAGACGTATGTACGCATCTTGGAAGGTGTCTGGGTAAGTTTGTTCGGTTAGGATATGTTGATATAGTGTGCCCAACGTGGGGGCTATGTCCTCAGAAAGGAGATGATAGAATTTGGCTGAGAAGCCGTCGGGGCCAGGAGCCTTGGAGCAAGGTGAGCACTTAATGACTTCCATGATTTCGTTGGAAGATATAGGTTCATTTAGGCTTGCTAGATCGTCGGGGGAGAGCGTCGGAAGGGGTACTGAGTCCAGGAAGGAGTTACCCGCCTCCATGTTACACTCACCCTGAGTATATAAGTTACTGTAAAAGTTACTAAAAATTTTACAGATTGAGGATGAATCAGAGTGTGTAATTCCACGATCATCAAGGAGTTGTGTTATGTGGGAGGGAGGGCAACATCCACAAGCCAAATTGGCCAGGAGTTTTCCTGCTTTGTTGCCAAATTTAAAAAGCTCTAAATCTTTTGGGGATCTAAGGATGAGGTCGTGTTGGTGTAACCAATGGTCACAAGATCGCTTGGCTTCCAGCCAGGCTAACCTGTTGGTGGGGGAGGGGGACAATTTATAGGCTAAGTAGGTTTGTCTGGCCGCCGTGCTAGCCTCCGCATACCTCTTCCTGAGTTCACGCTTTTTAGAGGATGCGTACGCTAAAATTCTACCCCTCAGTACTGCCTTGGCAGTTTCCCAAAATAGGACACAGTTAGATACATGAGCAGCATTATCGGACGCATACTCATTCCACCACCTAGAGAGCTCCATTTTAAAAATGTCGTCACGAGACGGATAAGTAGGAAATCTCCAAGTGGTGGGATGGCCAGGCGTGCCAAAGTTTTTTATAGTCGCCATAACCGGAGCATGATCAGATATGACGAGATCCTCAATCTGGACCAAGTCCAACCTGGATAGCAGAGAGGGGGATGAAAAAAACAAGTCAATGCGGGAGAGAGAGTTATGAGCGTGGGAAAAATGGGTGTTTTCTCTGTCTACTGGGTGTAGGTATCGCCAGAGGTCCGTGAGGCCAGATGCTGTGATCCAGGTGGCCAGATGAGTATCTTGTGGGTTGCGTTATTTGGGGGGAGGTCCCAGTTCCCAGGAGCGATCTTCCAGAGTGGAAGGGGTAGCGTTAAAGTCACCTCCCAGCAATAGAAATTAGTCCGGTTGCCGTGCAGAAAGATGTGAAAGAAGCGTGGCTAAGAAAGGCTGATTATCCGAGTTCGGGGCATATATGTTCCATAAGTCCAGCGAGTGGGGGCCCAGCCTAAGGGATAAATTGGACCATCTCCCAGTGTTTTGATCGAAGTGATGGTGGGAAATTGTATGGGTCAAGGATTTGTAGATGAGGGTAATTACGCCCGCCGAGCGGCCAGCAGCAGGTGCTCCCAAGACCGTACCAACCCAGGATTGTCTCATGCGGGGAATGTCTTCGGCCTTAAGGTGCGTTTCCTGGAGGAGTGCAATGTCCACTTTCAGTTTCTTGAGATGTCGTAGGACCTGTCTCCTCTTGTTGGTTGATCTCAGTCCCTTAACGTTCCACGCAACGATTTTCAGGGGGGTCCCATTAAGCCAAGTGAGATAGGTGTTATAAGGATAGCGTATAACAAAGCGGTACTAAATATTCACCGTCGGGTGTCCTAGTTCTCCCACAGTGCACTTGCGGTCCCAATGTTGTCGTGCATGTCACTGGCCGGGGATCGGACCCAGGAAGTGGAGTGTATAGATGGTTGCTGAGTAGAGCTGTTGTAACTGCGTCCAAAGCGTCAGTACCATGGATTGATTGAAGGCAACTCTGGTGATAAACAAAACTCAAACATAGGATAATCCAAAAAAAAACAGGCATAAATGAGTTCCCTTGTATGGACATCCTTTTTTCCCGAATGCGGGCAACAGTAAGTAACTTTATATGGAACCAAGATAGGTGTCCACAATGCAAAGTTCCACGTGGCAGAGGATACTCTACAGGAGCGATCCCTCCATCCCGCCACCTGAAATGGCTGTAGGTATAGCGGCCTGAGGGTGACCCAAGGTGGTCAATAACATGTATAGAGACATAAGGGCAACTTGTAAACAGCGGCAGTGGCCTCTCTTATAGAAGTGAGCAGAGAAAAAAACAAACAAAATCAGCCCGTGTAACTTTAAAGGGCAACTCCGGCCCGAGTTATGTCAAGTCTGTTTCAGGCCTTTTTCTTCCTGGGCGGACTTTTGCTCGGGGAAGCAGAGAGATGACATTCTCGAGACTCAAGAAATCTTTGCGCTTGGGAAGCTGAGGTGAATCGCCACTCCTTCCCATCTTCCGTGGAGAAGCGAAGTGTCGCTGGGTATTGCAGGGCGAATTTGGTGCGTTTGCGTACCAGGGTCTGACAAACCTCATGGAATGTTTTCCGCAGCTTTGTGGTCTCCGCAGAGTAGTCAGCGAACATAAGCAGTTTAAGACCGTTAACTACAAGGTGGTGCTGCGTGCGGTATAAGTTGAAGATGGTTTGCTTATCATGGTAGTCCAGGTATCGAACTATCACTGGCCACGCTTTGTTGTCATCCCTAGGCGGACCCAGGCGGTGCGCTCTTTTCACCCTACAGGTGTCGGAGTGGCCCAACGCTTTTGGTACGGCTGAGGAGCAGAATGCCCGGAGGTCCCCTGGTTTAACCGACTCTGGGATACCTATAACTCTCAGGTTATTGCGTCTAGAGCGGTTTTCTAAGTCATCGATTTTTTCCAGGAGCGTGTGCATCTGTTTGGATACAGTGTTATGGGAGCAGTGAGCCTCCGCCGCATCTTCCTCTAGATCACATACCCTCAGTTCCATGGCCTGCAATCTCTGTGTCTGTGTCTCTAGGGCTGCAGTAATCTTTCCCATATGAGCCTGTAGGGAGTCCGTTATAATAGCTGAGATGTCAGCTTTAAGGTGCTGTGAGACAGCAGAAGCCAGTAGCTTGTAGTCAAGAGGGGAGGCTGTGTGGGAGCCAGGCTGTGACAGTGACTCACCCTCTGTGACTTCACATGCGGTTCCCTGCTGCATTGCCCCGGGCGCCATATTGGTGGAGGCACTCTTGTCTGCCTACGAGTCTTTGAGCTCCCTACACGCTCTCTGCGGGCGTTCTACAAACTTGTCCATGACGGACAGGGGATCCGGTGCCCGACGGGCCGTTTATGCGGGCTTGGGAAGGACGAGTGAGGTGAGGCCGGTGATGTCAGGTACGATGACGGGACGGAGGTCCGAGAAGCGCCGCTACAGCATCGGGCGCCGGAACCGGAAGTCCCCCTCAGATTTTTTAACATAAACCAATACTGTAATGTGTGCCTTACTGTAATCCATGGTTGTTTCCCTTCTCTTTGCTGCTCTTCCTTTTAAATCTGTATCTGTTCTCATGCTGGGGAGAACTTCTGTTTTGCAGCAGACTGCCTTGTCTCAGGAATGGATACATGGTGTCTGTGTATACGTTTGTATAGGCTTGTAACCTGAACCAGCACTACAGGAAGAGGCCCTGAGCTGAAAAGGGAAGTTCTCCCCCAGCATGAGAAGACATGAGGATTTAAAAGGAAGAGCAGCAAAGAGAAGGGTTACAACCATGGATTACAGTAAGGCACACATTACTGTATTGGTTTATGTTAAAGAATCTGAGGGTTTAATGTCACTTTAATCTTTAAAAATGTATTCAAGTACCATAACTAGTAACAAGAATGTATCTTATTTGTGTATCACTCAGCTGTAGATCCTCAAATTGTTTCTGAATTGGTGCTGACACTGTCCTTCCTTCTGGAGGGGGGCTACTTTTGTTCCCCATGGTCCCTGTGTGTGTTGTAAAAGTAGTCACCACTTCAAGCTCACTCCTGTGATAAACTATAACTTCAAAACTTTTTGGAAACTCAACGTGAGTTTGTAGTCCATCACAGGAGCGAGCTAGGAGCAGTTTTCCCTTTTAAAATCCATGCATCTACAAAAACATACCTGTTGATCAGCCAGAAATGCACTAACCTTTTTCATTTCCTGCTGTGAGCTGACAACAAACAGCATTTTTGTGGACTGAGTGGTGTCAGCCCTGCCCAGTTTTCTTTTGGTAAACTACTCAATACAACCCACTGTCTTTGTCTTCATAGTATAGGCACTAATTGTTGTGTAGAACCAAAATAAAAACAGGAAGGACTAAACAGACAGAGATAACACAGGAAGTGTGCAGTTGTAGATCCTCAAATCATCTCTGAATTGGTGCCTACACTGTCCCTTCTGGAGGGTGGCTAGTTTTGTTCCCCATGGGCTCTGTATGTGTTAAAAAGTAGTCGCCACTCCAAGATCACTCCGGTTAAAGACTATAATCTCAATACAAATTAGTAAACTAAACGTGAGATTGTAGTCCAACACAGGAGCGATCTTGGAGCGGCGGCTACTTTACAACACACACAGGGACCATGGGGAACAAAATATGCCACCCTCCAGAAGGAAGGACAGTGTCAGCACCAATTCAGAGATGATTTGAGGATCTACAGCAAATAAGATACATTTTATGTTAATAGATGAGGTACTTGAATGCATTTTTAAGATTTAACTCCTGAGTTTAGTGTCACTTTAAAAATGAAATATTGGGACAGGGCCTACCTGCTTATTTCCTCTGTTTTTTTTATTTGGACATTGCTGATCATGTTTTAGGTGATCTGGGAACTCCTGCTAAATCAAAATAGTTATTCCCAAACATCCCCTGTAGGCGTAAGGCTTGTATCTCTTACACACAAAGACTGACTGCATAGAATTAAACAGTTCTTAGATTAAGATACATTGAGTACATGCTCTGACAGTTGCAGTGTTTGCTGGATGGAATAATAATAGCTCATTGATATGTTTTGCTCTTGGGTTTGAATTGCTCTTTAAAAAGGAACACTGTGAATTCTGCTTGCAATGTAATTAATATCACTGTGCCAAATGTACAGAATTGTTCTACAGTAGGGACTAACCTGATGTCCACCCTCATAGATCACTGAAACCAGACTTTGTCCTGATTCGTCAACATGCCTTCAGCATGGCACGCAATGGAGATTTCCGCAGCATGGTGATTGGACTACAGTATGCAGGAGTGCCCAGCATCAATTCTCTACATTCCGTGTACAACTTCTGCGACAAGCCATGGGTGGTAAGTGTTGACATCAGATAACCATAGAAATGTAATGTATCTATGGGCAACCAGATCTAACGTCTCAGTTTTTCATTGTTGCCAGAAAGGTGATAACACAGACATCTTATATGTTTTGTGGTTTCCGGTGGTGGGGGCAGCCATATTTGTTCATTGCATATGCAGGCTGTGATTCCTGCCTAGTAGTGCTGCACAGCAACAGTGCTTCTCTACTCCACTGTATTAATGCAAGTATGTGGCAGCCAGGAGGAGGAATCCACAAGGTACCAAAAGTCACATCAACAAATACTTTAAAATACACCTTACAATAATAACTTAAAACAAAAAGAATGTATATTTTCACCGTTTGGTTCCAGCTACAAACAAGTTCCATCACCTTGCTAGTATTTGTGCAGCCCTGATGGAATGGTTTTTTAAAGGCTAAGTTTATGTTTCTGACCATGTTTCGTGTTACACCCATATTTAGGGTGTAATATGGACCATCGTCACATTGCAACCTTCCTGCCCTCCACTTACCTGAATCACAGGATTTTTCTCCCTGCAGGCTGCTGTTTGAATGCAGTGTGGCTGTTTCCAACAAAGCTGCTTCATCAATTCTCAGATCCTTTGACAGGATCTGTCAATAGAGAAACTGACTTCATTGCACTTGTCCACTGACACTTCCTCCTGTCCATGCTACTAAATGTCACTACCTTGGCACGGTCGTGGACGGGGGAAGAGTCTGCAGGAGCCAGAGCATTGCACCCGCAATCCACTGCTTCACTGCCTTCTATGCAAACAAAATAATAAATGCACATTTTTTTTCTTTTATGAAGTGTGCTTTGCATTTATTTTATTTTTTTTTAATGATGGAATTTCCCTTAAATACAATATATGTTTTGATTTCCTGTTGAAGAGTATTACTTTTAAATTTATGTGACAGGTGCTCTTTATAGCTTAAACTTCTCACCCTATTTTTTTTTTTTTGGTTCCATTTTCAGTTCTCCCAACTAGTACGTCTGCACAAGAAGTTGGGTCCAGAGGAATTCCCTCTAATAGAGCAAACGTTTTACCCCAACCACAAAGAAATGGTGAGTCACAGATGATGGAAATTGGTCAAAAGCCTAACGCAATGTTTGACTTTACCTAGGGGAGTTATTTCCAGTTTGTACCTGTTCATTTGAGGGTCTTGTCCTGTTTTGACCCCAGACTACAGCCTCATACATAGCACGCTATCAGGTTTGGTCTGCCCCCCTTCCAGAAGGATGTTACGTGTCATGGAACAAATTTAGAAACCTTGCACGGAAAACGCTTAATCTGAAACAGATGGCTATCTATAGAATCCCTTATTTAGGCACAATCTCACTTTCTTTCTGATTCACTGAGATTTCGTATTTATTTTTCACTGCACACGGTTTCATTCATATCCATATGCCTATATATGTCTATATATGCCTATATATGCCTGATATATATATATATATATAGTGCAATATAAATGGGTAAGCCGTATTAGTCCAGTAAACAAGATGTCAAAAAAGACAAAAACGCAGTATTGCAGTGTGCAATGATACCTTTCTTATTGGACTAACAAAATATATAAAAGACAAGCTTTCGAGAATGAACCTCTCTTCTTCATAGAGTCATCAGACATCACTTTGAAGACTGATATCCTATTCTTTCATGAACAAGATTACATCCCCTATTATGAAAATTGTATGTTCCCAAAACAAAAAGGAGAGGTGTTCAAAGGGATTAACATTAAGCAGAGTTAAAGTTTATGTAAAGTTCAAAAAGCTGAAGTCCAAGAAAATAATTTTTTGCAAAGTTTTCCTCGAGATCCTGTAAGTAACAGCATCAGCAGCAGGGAGAGCACTTCCTGTTGCAGGCTATCAACATTAAGCTACTGCTTTGCAATTAGCATCAGCGTTGTCAGCCTGCTGTGTGTGCTTCTATAGTTGGCCATTGGATTGCCTATCTGACATACCTAATAGGCAGCCCAACCACAAACTGAAGGAGCGTTTGCGTCAGGTTGACAACGATGCCGCTAATTACGAGAATGCTTTGCATTGTCGGCCTGCAACAGGAAGAGCTGCTACTGGCAGTCTCTCCAGGTTAACCACTTGCTGCAATTTCTTACATTTGCACACACATGATAAAAACAGATTTTTTTTGGCTAGAAAACAGCTTCAAACTCCCAAACAATTATATATTTTCTGAAAGCAGGGGCCCTGTAGAATAAAAAGATGCTAGTTGCAATTTTTTATGTCGCACAGTATTTGCGCAAATGTTTATCAAACAAGTATTATTAAGATAAAATACACTAAAATGAATTGTAATGCACAGAAACAGAATATAATGCCCATTTTTTTTGTAGAATATAAAAGATGGGGTCAAGCTGGGTAAATAGATACCAAACATGTCAAGCCTTAAAATTGCCTGCGTCCGTGAAACCACAAACAACTCAGTGATTGATGGGCCTAGAATTATTGTTCTCACTCCAACGCTCGCGACGATATATAACATGTGTGGCGCAATTTTTGTTTTTGCACGTAGGCGCATCCGACACCTGTTTGCGTCGTATGGCGTGCACGCGGGGGGACTTTAAAAAATATTTTATTGCATTTTTTTATTTTCTTTTATGTTACTTTAATTTTTACAATTGTGTTTTTTTGTTTTTTTTTTACACATCTTTATTGATATCGCATAGGGGGCTAACAAGCCCCCTATGTAATATCAAATTAATTGTGACATGTCCTCTTTCAGACACCTAATGTCACCTGGGGACCCCAAAGAAGCTGATGAAGTAGAGATCTGCTTCATCAGCTTCTTCTGGCTCTAGGAGCCAGAGAATGGGCACTGTGACACCGGAAGTGATGTAATGCACATCACTTCCGGGTCCAGTGATCGAAGGAGAGATCAGCGGCTGGAAGCCGCTGGTCTCTCCTCCGGTCTATTGGGAGACCCTCCACGCCGGTCCCGGGCTCATACGAGGGACATATGAGCCCGGATTGCTTGTATTTAAACAGTAATCGCTTGCTGTTTAAAACGGTACCAAGAACATTGCTGCAACATTGTTATAACGCTGCAATCTTGCTATAACCACCTCCAGCAGGGACGTACAGTTACGTGAACCCGCGGGTATTGGTTAAAAGCTTTGCAAGAGATTCACAAAAAGATCCAATGTATTTACTGATACATTATGCTAAATAACGCAAGGAGGCTATCAGTGGTGCGCAGAAATTATATAAGTTCGCGCTTGTGGATATACAATATTCCTTACTGAAAGTGCTACCAGCTGATGTGCTTCAGTGTATGTGTACACTCATAGATAGATATATATAGTGCACTGCGCTATTCAATAACTTCAAAATAAAATAAACTATATAAAAATCAACTTGTGGAAGAAATATTATAACTCTGTAAAAGTGATCTCTCACTTAGTGAATATCCCAGTGATAAATGTGACATTATAAATGCAATAGTTTCCACAGCCAAGTGTGGAATCTCTATAAACCAGTGACAGTATTCCATATGCATTCCATAAACACAAGCAAGATAGTGTCCATCTATATAGTAAACGTAATCAGCAGTGATAGTCCTTCTGTGACTACAAGCACTCCACAAACGACCACAAGTTCAAGCAATCAGTGCTCTGTGTGCACGTTAAGGTGCCCATACACTGCACAATTCTCGTACGAGAATCGCAGGAAATCCGCGATCGTACCAGAATCCTGCAGTGTATGGAAGGCGTGCGACCGTTCTAATGTACATGATCGAGAGATCACTGCCGAACGGGCCGGTGTGCGCACACGCACACTGCCCGTTCAGCATTGCAGTCATCGGAAGCCCGCCCCTCAGGGGGGGCGGGCTTGCGATGATCGCAAGTACGATCTGCCTGTCCAAGATGGGCAGATCGTACGTTTTTTTAAGTACTTTACAAGGGTTGTAGAGTGTATGGGCACCTTAATTCTCCTACTATGGGCTCAAGAAAAACTCACCAGATTCTTATGAGACTCTGAAACAGAGAGTTGAAAAACACTGAGTTCCCAATATCCTCATCAATCCAGCATGTGCAATCCACTTTAATCAAGTCTCCTTCACTTCTTCTAAAGGTGCCCATACACCTGCCGACTTCCTTCTTCTAAAGGTGCCCATACATTATTACGATAATCGGGGGAAATCCTGCGATTGTACGATAATCGGCAGGTGTATGGAAGGTGTGCGACCGTTTCTACTGTACGGTCGCACCTCTTTTGTTTTACTAGCATGTTTGAAAACCCGCAGAGAATCGTACGATAATCGGCGGGTTTGTGGCCTGCTCATAAGACAAATGCCGCACGGGCCGGTTTGCGCAAGCGCACACTGCCCATGTTCAGCATTGCAGTCATCGAAAGCCGGGGTGGGCTTTAGCATTGCAGTCATCGAAAGCCGGGGTGGGCTTGCGATGATCGCAAGTACGATCTGCCTGTCCAAGATGGGCAGGTCGTATGTTTTTTTTAACTACCTTACAACCATTGCAAGACGAAAGTCTTGCGATGGTTGCAAGGTGTATGGCCAACTTTAATCCCCTTAAGGTCAAAGGCCTTTTTTTCATTTTTTGTTTACATGTTATAATCCACATTTTAGGCCTGAAAATCATTTAAAACCCCCCAAACATGATATATTTTCTGAAAGCCAAGACCCTATAGAATAAAATGGTGGCAGTTGCAAATTTGTATGTTGTACAACACAACATATTATCAAACCCAAAGATTTAGAGAAAAATGCACTTTTAGATATAGTGCCCCAAAACACTATATAAAAACATTTTTTTTTGTAAAAGATAAACAATGAGGTTACAACGAGTGACTAGATACCCAACATGCACAGGCTAAAAGTCATCAGTTTAGAGATACGCGTAAATATTGGCCCTAGAATTATTGCTCTCATTCTGGCGTGTGCAGCGATGCCCAACATGTGAAGCGCAATCGTCGTTTTCGTCGGCGCACCCGACGCGTGTGGTCGCTGGGGTGGAAGATAGCGCTGAATACAGAAAAATGGCCTGGCCAGGAAGGGGGTCTAAACACCTGGTCTTGAAGTGGTTAAAAAATGTTTTTATTATTTTTACATTTAATGTATTTAATATTATTTTTAAAACCTGTTTTTTTTTTTAAACTTTACTTTAATTGCTGTCACATGTGGTAGCATATTGGTGGTGACAGGACCTCTTTAAGGTGATACTGGGGGTCCAAAAGACCCCTAGTGTCACTTTTACACTCTTAATAAGCTATTGAAGTGAATGATCTCAAGGCAATTGGGACCACAGTCACCAAGCAAACCATTGGTAACACAATACACCGCCATGGATTGAGATCCTGCAGCGGCCACAAGGTCCCCCTCCTCAAGAAGGCACATGTATAGGCCCATCTGAAGTTTGCCAATGAACATCTAAATGCTTCAGAGAATGATTGGGAGAACGTGCTGCGGTCAGATGAGACCAAATTTGAGCTTTTTGGCATTAACTCGACTCGCTGTGTTTGGAGGAAGAAAAATGCTGACTATGACCCATCCCTACAGTCAAGCACGGAAGTGGAAACATTATGCTTTGGGGCTGTTTCTCTGCTAAAGGTACAGACCAACTTTGCCGCATTGAGGGGCCAATGGACAGGGCTATGTATTGTAAAATCTTGGGTGAGAACCTCCTTCCCTCAGCCAGAACACTGAAGATGGGTCGTGGATGGGTCTTTCAGCATGATAATGACCCAAAACATACCGCCAAGGCAATAAAGCAGTGGCTCAAGAAGAAGCACATTAAGCTCATGGAGTGGCCTTGCCAGTCTCCAGACCTTAATCCTATAGAAAATGTATGGAGGGAGCTGAAACTTTGAGTTGCCAAGCGACAGCCAAGAAACCTTAAGGATTTAGAGAAGATCTGTACAGAAGAGTGGACCAAAATCCCTCCTGACATGTGTGCAAACCTGGTAACCAACTACAAGAAACGTATTACCTCTGTGCTTGCCAACAAGAGTTTCTCCACCAAGTACTAAGTCATGTTTTGCTTGGGAATCAAATACTTATTTTACTCACTGAACTGCAACTCAATTTATAACATTTGTATCGTGTGTTTTTCCTGGATTTTTGGTTGATATTCTGTCTCTATCATTTAAAGTACACCTATGATAACAATTATAGACCTTTCATTTCTTTGTAAGTGGGCAAACTTACAAAACCTGCAGGGGATCAAATAATTATTTGCCACGCTGTATAGCTCCTTCCATCTCTCCACATGCAAATGTAGAATACACAAAAAGTTTATGCTGCAACCTGCCCAATCTCACACTTTGATTTTTTTTGGAAACCCAACATATATAAGAGCCAGTAAGGAGATTTACACCAGCTTTCTAGTTGAAGATATATATTTGCATAGAAGAATGCAACCGATTTTGGGGCTCCTAGCGTGCTCTGAAAGAAACCTGAACAGTGCTTGCTGAATGACTGCAAGCATCGTTCGGCTGAAGATTTTCCAAACGGCTCTTTAAATCTTCTGAGGGATGCCTAGCAGAAGGGTGGTGACAGGGGCACCCACTGTGTGAATTTCTGCTGAATCATCAAGAATTTGCCAAATTTCGTAGAGTGTATGGCCAGCTTTAGAGTTTCAGGCCTATTCAGCAAAGCCACAAACATGAATCAGCTGCCCTCAAATCTCTGCTGTAATTACCAAATCTGAAAGGTGTTCCTGTATAAAGCACACTGTCTCTTCTGTCATGCCATCATTAGAGATATGTTCAGAGATCTGTTAGCTTCATAAATTTGTGGCATCCCATACACAGGTTCAGTCATCTCCATAGAAGGTTAAAATGTTATATTTCTGTAGTGTTCTGCCCAAGTATGAGGACAATAAAATGTATTTAAAGACCAAATTGACTTTTTCAGTTTTGCATAGAGTAGGGAACAACTGAGTTGGCCATACCCTATTAGATTTTTGCCTTCAGCCTGCGGGCTGAACTAAAAAAAAAAATCTCTAACAGATCCCCCCCCATCCGCGCTAAACAGTGTGAATGGCCGAATTTCCCACTGCAGCTATTGCATTTTTACAGGTGGCACCCGTCGCTGTCAGGAGACATGAACAGTGATTGTGGCTGCAGTCACTGTTTGGCTGAGAGTTTTCAGACGAGCTCCTTCAACAAAATTCAATTTAAAAAAAACTACTTTTGTTGAACACTGGAGTTCCAATGGGGGCCACACACACTCTGGAATTTCTGTCAAGCTGACCTGTCTTAAATTTGATCAGTGTATGGCCAGCTTTAGACTCTGTCAAGTTTTATTGACAGGCTGTGTCCCCACTGGGTATATTCATCCCTCTATATGTACCGTTGACCATTGTCTCCAAAGACGAAAGTGAGGGGATATCCAAAATTCTAGGGTTATCTCCAGAACAGACTCATCCAATGGCAACAAATGTTCTGATGACAATTGTCTGAGATGGGAATTTCCTCACTTGGTGATATTTGCTTTCATTTCCTGTTACATCTCTAGTAAAAGTTAAGGGAAATCTCCCTAGCTGAACAGCAAAAATAAAAAGTAGGTTTGAACACTTCCCTACTCATTACTTTACTCTTTCTTCTTACATGCTGTCTCAGGGTAGGACTGGCAGCACTGCACTGTGCAAAGGAGCCTGAGTGAATCACATTATTACCCCTACCAGTCTATATCCTGCTTTGTAGAGGATCATGGGAAGTTAACGATGGTTTCAAGCACTTCCACTATTTGTATTTAAAGCCCAACTCCAAGTCAAAGTTTGTTTGTAAAAAGAAGTTTGGAAAAGAACTCCCCCCCTACCACAGACCATTTCTTTTCTGAAAGATCAGCACTTATAAAAATAATAGATGATGCTGGTGATTGTAGATACCATGATAGTTTTGCAGATGTATGTCAATAAGATATTTTCAATTAAATTACCTTGAAATCATTATTAGTGTACTCTGAAACTCAGTCTTGTACCTTGGATGTGCTATATACACCCCAAAAACTTAATTGTAGTACACAGGGCATATGTAGTATGCTTGTCCCTCTCTCCCTCCTGGCGCTCTGCATTCAGAAAATATATAATGTTGGGGGGTTTTACGTCATTTTCAGGCCTAAAATGTGGAATATAACATGGGTGCAAAAATGGAAAAAAGGGCCTCAGTCATGAAGGGGTTAAACTTACTGTCTATTCCCAGCTGTCAAAATGACATGAGTATTTGAATAAGTCGTACAGCGGCCCCCACTGAGGCTACTGTCATTAGAGCCTCTGTACCTGTTTGTTAACCTTAATTTGCCCTTAGTTGCTTTCTACTGATTTATTTCTGTTTTTTACCATTAATATTTTAACTTTTTTTAAATTGCCTATTTTTTGTTATTTAATAATGTGAAGAATTGAAGAAAAAAACTTTGCAAAGCTTTGTACCAGAATCGTAATTTAATGTCATTATATAAGGACCAAACTATAGAATGAAATTCATACTTTTTATCTACAATAACTGTCTTTTCTATTAGAACAGGGTTCTTTTAAACTTACTCATTGAGAGGAAACAAACAGCTGACCTAAAAAAGCAAATAATTTAATAAATGTAGCCCCTACTACCTAAAACTATAACAGCAGTGGTAGGCCGACTAGCACGTTCGAGAAACTATATTAATGCCCTATCCAACAACAAAAGAAAAATGCTTTTATATACAAAACCAAATCTAAAAAATATTTATTTAAACAAAAATTCCTTACATATAAAAAGCATTTATAGCACATCTAAAAACACTGCCCCTGGATCTAACAGTGCATACAAAATTAGCTCGTGATTGAAGCACATTCTTAGCAGAAAACACAAAATTGATGGTTTTTAAATCGATCCTTCTATTCCTCCAGAGGTGCCCCCTGCTGATAAATGTGTCCAGTGAACCGCAGAGACCTCATGTCCGGTGACAGCGCCTTAGCAAGGACCTTGAGTGGCAAAGTGTGTGTGCTGAGGTCACCTCAGACCTTATTGGTAGCAGATTTGGTGACTGGGGAGTAGATGCGGGACTTAAGTGAGTCCCAAATGCACAGGCTGTTGCCGTTGCTGACGCAGGCCGAGTTGGCAGCCTGGTGGCCGGAGTAGGCGCTCTTCTGCTTGCTCAGGTGGTCAGTCCAAAGACACTGGCGGTCATCATCTAGCTCACATGGCACTGTGTAGCACTGTTTGACCTGCAATTAAAGATATCATCGTTTGGTATTTTTCAAAGATATTTAAAAAATGGGGAAGCTAAGATATATATAGACAACAATTGCGTACTTTCTCTTGACATGCCAACTCTGTTGCAAACACAACAGAACAAACAATTCTGAGCATGAAATTGACTTCCTCACTGTACTTCAGCTGATACATTTAGACATAGGCATTGTTATAGATTTAAAGGGAGTTTCCACTTTAGCTGACTTTATCTTAAATGAAGTCAGCAAAACACTGCAGATTTTACTGCATTTTTAAATAGCTTTGTTCCCTTTTTTAACTGTCTCTTTATTCCTCGGCCATATGTGTTTATTTCCATTGTTCTGGGATACAACACAAATCTGTTTTCTGGGTACAATAGAATCCTAAGCAGAGAGGACAACAGAGCTATTGAAATGAACATCAAAGAGAGGAAATGTATCTAGTAAAAGAGTGCATTATATACAGTTTGTGGAATAGGGAGGTCGACTCCTGAATTCGCTGTTGCAGCTTCACAGCTTCCTGCGCCAAAGCTCTACTCATTGGACTGTAAATGAGGATGATTACACTGTGCAGGCAGCTTGAGTGTCTCATGGTGCAGAACCTTCCACTGTCAGTGTGATTTCTATTGTGCAGGGGATTGTGGGCAGAGCGTGATGAGGTCGATATTGGTCAGATGTACTAGCGTTATCATAAGTTAGGGTCTTTTTTTTTTAGAAATGATCTAGCGTTTCATTTTAAGGCTAGCAGGATCATTGATAACAGGATTATCAAAGTGATTTTTTTATCTTGCAGTACAGACAAGTGACAACAAATGTATTCAGTTAAAGCTTCAAGACAGCATGTACAAGTAAGCGCATTAAATGTCAACTGAAGGCGCACAGCTCTTTCTTCTCTTTGCAGTCTTTGTCTTCCCATGCATTCACAGTACGTCTGTGTACAAAGCTGCAGACAGGAAATCATACGCTTTTCCAGCAGCCAATCACAGAAGGGAACTTTGACTTTGGGCTAAGCCTGATATAGATCACCACCCCCATAATTGCAGTTTTCCTCGCTGTTACATTCTCAGGGGACACAGTGTCAGAAAATTGATTTTTATACTCGTGCACGTTTTCCCCACTTAGCAGGAGGCCGCTAACTGACCACAATGCAGGGGAAGAATAATGTTTCATGACCCTAGAGGGCAAGGTCTGAAACAAGATGGCACATACGTGACCTAGCCTGTACAATGTAAATCAACAATTGGAGAAAGCGGCAAGAATTTGTGGAAGGGTAAAGCAAAAGCTGCTTACAGGAATCCCTGGTGTTGGCCTGCAAAAAAACAACAGCAATGAAGAATCTGACTGTAGATGACCGAATCGGAAGAATTTTCTCTTAGGCTCTGATTACACCTAGTCGCTCAAAGCCAAGCGCGACAGAACACTCAAGACAAGGAATCCCATTCGTTTGTCTTGAGAGCAACAAAACACTCATGACAAGGAATCCCATTCATTTCTATGGCCTCCGTACACACCTTTAACATTTTGTCACACAAAGTTTCTCATTCAAGGCTATGGGACCAAAAAGCATTGTAATCTACCAAAAAATGGCTCATGTACTTTTGCCAGCAACCGGTGTTTTTCTGCTTGGGACAAAACGGTCAGGTGTGAACAGGAGCTATAAAAACCAATTGGATTCTTTGTCTTGAATGTTTTGTCGCGCTCAAGACAAGCATGTGGGATTCCTTGTCTTGAACGTTTTGCCACGCGACAAAACGCCTAGGTGTGAATGGGGACTAATGGGACTAAGGCATGTTTGTTACTATAAGATGGACACTTGAGTTTGGACACAACTGATTAGTGACGTCAATTCACTAGGACAGTTGTAACGCATCATTGTATGTCAGGGTAATGACACTGTGATCTCCAGGTAATGTTTAGGTAATTCTTTTATAAGTAAAGTCCAACATTTTCTTCCTTCCTTTGTACATGGGCAGGACCAACTTCCCGGCCTCACACACAGATGTATGACATTCAGCAGAAGTGCAGGCTTGTTTAGACAGTTTTGAAAATTGCAGGACCTGTTATGTATCCGCACGAATTACAATCTTACCTTGCAGTCGCAGTTCTTGGCATATACCTGCGTGAAGCCCCTTTTCTGGCAGTAAGTCAGGGAAGCCCATGGTGCTATGAAGCTGCAAGAGTTAATGAACACATCGCTATCCACAATATGTCCTGTAAACAGAGGGTGAGAAACATCATTAACACAGAGGAGAGAGCAGAAGATCAACTATAAAGCAGGCTTTGTGTATCAGAAATAGGCTCAGTCTGTGCTGTCCTAATTTAGATTCAAACCTTCAATGGAAAATGAAGGACTCTGGTTGCTGTGGTGTGGAGCAGATAGATCTCACATTAGAATGCTGCCTGTCTATCCTTTAGGAACGAGTGACATGTTTGAAGCATGAGGGATGTCACTAATTCCCAGTAGTAGTCTAAATCCTTCCAGAAGGGGGCAGTAGAATGTGTTGTCTGCTAGCTGTGTATATAAAATCACAATTTTTTAGACTCGGTCTCATTCGTGGGTCTGACCTTTTACCCCCTTTCACTAAAAATCACCAACATACAGCTCTGCATGCTGATATGAAATCATCTTACATTCATTAAACATAATTCTCTTTTACTAACAATTATTGTTTTTCCACTTCCTGGTTTACTTTGGCACCAAAGATGTAATCGTGCCAAAGCATGGTATCCTGGGAAGGTAACATCAGCAGAGCATTGCTGGGAAATCTCATCTGTAATCTCATCAGATCTCATGGAAAGGCATTTTCCTCCCCTGAGATGTGGTGCATTGTCACATGTTTTAGTCGCATGTGTCAGAGTTCCAGGAAGTAAAGGGAGATCTAGTAACCTACCCTTAGTTAAAATATAAAATAAGTAGTATGACTAGAAGTGGGGAGAGTGTACATCTGAAAGTTTAGTCACTAGAATTTGTCCCTCTGTCCTATTTCACAAAAGTGTTTGTGTGTGTGGGGGGGTTGGGGGAATGTAGAATCATACTGACCAGCAATGATGAATTCTTTACTCTTGTTAGTTGAAGTGTGCTGATAGCCGCACAAGCTCTCAGAGATGGCCGTGTACAGGTACTGGATGTCCTCATACCCTGTAGGAGCCTTAAAAACCTGATGGAGAAGATGGGTTGTTTTCAATGTTACATAAGTCATAATGCACTGTAAAGCCACCCAGCATGCTACAAGAAAACCCAGATCTAATTCAAAAGTCAAAAAATCTCAGCTGACCAATCAGCTGCACTCACTGCTCAGGTATTCTGACAAAGGGATGACTGCCAATGTCAGAATACAGTAGCATAGAGCAAAAAAGCGTGGATGGGGGAATCAAACAACCATGCATTGCATGGGAATAAGACAATCTTACCTTTGTAGCCTTGATCTGATACTCAATTCTGTGATTGTTCTTTTCACTGACTTTCTGCCCAACAAACTTTGCCCGGATCACTGGAGAGAGAAATATTGTAATCAGCACTGACGACTACAATAACATTTATCATGTGGAATGTCTACAACCTCTAAGATCCACCCAGTATTTAACGGGAATGTATAGTCTTTGCCCAAAAGCAAACATATAATATATTGCATCAAGTCCTTAGATGTGGCAGCTGATCAGCTGGGGTGATCTTTCCAGTTCCACAACCCCTCTCTAAAGGTGGCCATACACTTTACAACCCTCGCAAGACTTTTGTCTTGCGAGGGTTGTAAAGTACTTTAAAAAAAACGTACGATCTGCCCATCTTGGACAGGCAGATCGTACTTGCGATCATCGCAAGCCCGCCCCCCTGAGGGGCGGGCTACCGATGACTGCAATGCTGAACGGCCAGTGCGCGCACACACTGGCCTGTTCGGCAGTCATCTCTCGATCATGATTCAAACCAGCCAAAAAATCGTATGATTCTCGGCTGGTTTTCGAACATGCTGGGAATACAAAAGTCGTGCGACCGCACAGTAGAAACAGTTGCACGCCTTCCATACACTGCACGATTATTGTACAATCGCGGGATTTCCCGCGATCCTCGTACGAGAATCGTGCAGTGTATGGGCACCTTTAGGGTGACAACACTCACTCACAGCTTCTCACAATGTACATTAGAAGCCACAGCAAGTCAGATATTGACCACCTCAATCTCCCATGGCTGGAGGATGTCCTGCACCATCTAGCTCTTTCCTCCCCAGTCTAACTGTATCTGGCCCAGCCCTTTCATTAATTGGATTCTATTATTTTACTGATGGATGTTCAGCTTCACATGTGGGAATTACCTATGGCAGTCTGCATGAAACTGCTGCCTACCTAGGAATTCTCACTTCTCCATACTGACATCCACCCATCAAGGCATTTTAATATTTGCATAACTCATCCCAGCTCACTGCTTGTATCAAGGCTGAGGGCTCTTGAAAGGAGTACTGAGGCAAGGCAATGTAATATTTCCAGGAAGCTATGTACAGAACCCTGCTGGCCCTTCCACAAGCCATTACCTGCCTGCATTGCATGGAGAAGCACAGAGACCCTCTAATGACATCACTGTGTGTAAAGGAAAGTATGTCATGAAAATGGAATGGTTTTGTTTGCACACTCTGAGGAAATACTCTGTACTTTCCCTTCAAATCTTGTTAGCTCTGCTGGCTTCATGTTAACGCTGCTGGCTTCCGTAGCCTATTTGTCAGTGCATTTAAATAAAAGCTTGGTGTGTCTTGTAAACTGAATCAGGGCATGGCTCTGCCTATAATTAGCCTTCCTGTGCATGTTGTGACATGAGCTGCCCTTCTGCAATAATAACACTCACACATCAAAACCTGAGGGACAGTATTATGGAAATGTTGTAAAACTATGTTTATATGTTTCTACATTTGTGCTGATCCTACGTGTACCTGCGGAAGTCTTTGGTGTGCAGTGTTTTGGGCCACATAATCTGCATTGGAGCAATGTTCACACAGCTTTGTAATATAAGGTTATACTATTGGGTTTAAGTTATATGTAAAACCAAAACGTTTTGGTTTAGTATTAGGCTGCTGGCCATATACTGATCATTTCTTCTTGATCAGCCAATGCTTGATTTTTTCTAAACAGTGTGGATGAGGGAATCCCCCCACCCCACCGTGCTATTGTATTGTGACAGTGGTGGATGTGCCGCTGTCAGAATACCTGAACGCTGACTGCAACTCATTGCCTGCTGTCCCTGTTTTGCCTAGGGCTTTCAGACCGCCTCCTTTGACAAAAGTCAACCTTTGTCGAATGGAGGGGTGCCAACTGGGTCACACACTGCTCTAATTTCAGCTGAGGAAACAGGACTTGCCCAAAATTTAATTAGTGTTTGGCCAGCATGAGATTAGAGTATTAGAGTAGGGAAAAGTTTTTTTTTACTGAATAGGGAACCTATCTAGCTGCTGTGTGATAGATTCCTATGCAGAGCTCTATCTCAGGACACTAAAAATATCCCTAATGGATACATTTGTAATAAACAGGAAAGCTAAACACGGCTCAAGAGTATGTACTAAAATAGTAGATTATGCAGTGACTGTGGTAGAAAGTCTGCGAAAATGATGGTGCTTTATATGAACGTGTGTATGCTGCAGTAACCCATAGATGCCATCCAGCTTCTGGCTTATGAAAGCAGTGAAGGGTGACTTCTGGCGCTTGCATGCTCCTGTGCTGTACATATTACTATTTGCTTTGTTATGAATGCCTATAGGTGTTTGTGTTGGTACAGGGGTTTCTGTCATGTTGGTTGTTCATGCAGGTCAGCAGACATATGAATTGTGGTGGCGCAAAAAATAGTTTTTTGGGCTACTCAATAAACTTTTCCAGGAGGGCAGTTAGCAGTTCCCTGTGATGTGGTATTACTACCTTGGTGAATACTAAATTAGTTTTTATGTTCCTGACAACTATGTCTGCCACTGGGAGCATGCATATCTCTCTCTCACTTTTTAAAAAAGACTGAACTTGGACCCATGTGTTTTTTTTCTATTATAATATTTTACTATTGATTTCTATCTTTGGTCCCAGACAATTAGGACCTTCTCCTTCTGATGTCTTAACAAAAAAACAAAAACTTTTATTAACCCTTGCAGATGGGCTACCCCAGCACTGCAAGGGTTAACTGCTCCTTTTTAGGTTAAAAAAACCCCAACGGCCTTTTTCTTAGACCGGTCCTTCCAGCCTCTCTCCCCCTTCTCTGCAGCAGTCTGAGGTCCTGTAAATCATCACGTCTATACAACAGTATAGACGTGAGGACGATGAGGAAGATTGCAATGCTGCAGCGTAGGAGGAGCGATGTGACAGCTGGCCGTCTCGGAGCTTCGGGTGAATATAACAGGGGTGTCTAGTGTTATTCCCTTTCCAGCTTCAATTAACATAAACATGTGTTTTCTGCTGTTCTTAACATGAATGTTTGTAGAAATGTCAGATGGTCATCCTGCACATACAACCCCCACCTGATGACTGTTGTTAGACTTTTAGGTGTTTATGTCTATGTCCATGATTACTCGTTTAAGGACTGTTCCTTTTAGCTTATCACTGCCTGTCAGGCTTTCTCATTTTGGCCCCTGACTATTATTAGATGAAACATGGGGTGGGGGCAAAAGTATTGCCCCAGTTGGCCCACTGCTGTCTCCAAACGTCTAGCTTCTGATTACAGTAATTCACAGGATGATTGTCACCTGATCCATCTGGTTGCAGTCAGATCAAGAAATGAGAACTGCAACTTTTACAGATCTGGCCAGCTAGTTTTAGGGGAAGAATCCTTTTGCCAGTCACAATTATTTTATTTTCCTCTGAATAAGCCCAGCCCGCAGATATAAACATGCACTCGTAGGCAGTCTGTCTGAATGTTTATAGAAAAATATTTCCTGCACGTCTGTCCTCTCACTGATGTCTATGGGTAGGTTTGCGCCTAATGTTTCCTTTCTCTGGTCCCTCTTGTCACCTAGAACTCTGTTTGTCACATGACCTTCTGTCTACGCTTTCTTCTCTCTTGATACCCAACAGCCTATCATGCTCTGATCTCAACAGCAAAGTTTACACTGCACATAATAGTTTAAAAAAATGCACACTATTATACTATTATTATTTATCTGAAATTCTCAGTTCTCTTACCGATAGCAGAGTCACAGTACACAGACTGGGGGTGTCTGATGCCACATGAACAGGACCAGGCTTCCTGGCTGAGGCATGCCAAAGCCAACAATACCACAAGGGCGAACATTGTGCAAACTGTTTTTCTGAACTGCAGAGGAAGGGAGAATGAAAATGTACACATTAGTAATGGTATCCCACAATCAGCTGAAAAAGGCTCTAAATAGGTTATATCCAATATATTTCTAGTAACAATTTGGTGCAAAGAACGGGTCAGTCATTTATAGGAGACCTACACCAAGTATGGCAGGACAGCAGCTATGTAAAGGTGAGCCTAGTTCTTGTAGAAGATGCTCGGCATGGTTATGTGTTAATAGGGGTTATACTTTGCCATGCAGCTATCAGGAAAGGAGTAATGCTGTAGTGAAGAGTAAGGGAAAGGAGTAATACTGTAGTAAGGAGTAATACTGTGGTGAAGAGTAAGGGAAAGGAGTAATACTGTGGTGAAGAGTAAGGGAAAGGAGTAATGCTGTAGTGAAGAGTAAGGGAAAGGAGTAATGCTGTAGTGAAGAGTAAGGGAAAGGAGTAATACTGTAGTGAAGAGTAAGGGAAAGGAGTAATACTGTAGTGAAGAGTAAGGGAAAGGAGTAATTCTGTAGTAAAGAGTAAGGGAAAAGAGTAATGCTATAGTGAAGAATGAAGGAGAGTAATGCTGTGGTGAAGAGTAAGGGAAAGGAGTAATGCTGTAGTGAAGAGTAAGGGAAAGGAGTAATGCTGTAGTGAAGAGTAAGGGAAAGGAGTAATACTGTAGTAAAGAGTAAGGGGAAAGAGTAATGCTATAGTGAAGAATGAAGGAAAGGACTAATGCTAAAGTGAAGAGTAAGGGAAAGGACTAATGCTAAAGTGAAGAGTAAGGGAAAGGAGTAATGCTGTAGTGAAGAGCTGTGGCAGGTGAGTAGTTATCTTGTGCTGGGCTTTACTTTGGCTGCTAAGGGGTTAAATGATGCTGTGCTGCAAATAAAAGGGTCAAGTGATAAACCTTTTGGCTGCTGCACATGAAGGAACAGGAGTTAAATAATGCTGCACTGCACTTCAAGTAAGACAAATTAAAGGATGGTATGCTCGGCTCCGTTCGGACAGAGGTTAAGCAATGCTTTGCAGTGCTCCAGTAATGAAGGGGCTAAGTGAGGCTGTGCTGGCCTTTGGCAGATAAGGGGTTACGTGCTGCTGTGGTGGGCTTTGACGGTAGAGCACTTAAGTAAACCCATACTGGAAAGTTACGTCCCTGCATAGAACTGCGTCATACAAGCAGTTAAACAATAAAGTGATGTGACAGGGCAAGAGAAGGGGTTAATCCTCCTGTGCTGGTCTCTGGCTTCTTACTGATTCTGTGCAGCGCTTTTAAAGAACTATAAAGTTATTTTTTTTTAAAAAGGGGTTAATAGATGCTGTGAAAAAATCTAAAGCCATTCTCCCATCCTACAGTGACTGCCTAGCAGTGCTCAGAGAGTTAGTGATGCTCTGCCGGGAAAGCAGGGTACCAGCAATGAAGATGGAGCTCTCCAACCACTTACCTGATCTCAGGATTGTCAGTGCTTCTGGAGCTGTGTGTTGGAACTCTCCATGCCACGTTTGGAATTTAAAGCTCCTCACGCCCCCTCCCCCTCTGCTATGATTGGCCAAGAGCCCAGCCCCAGACGCCAACCCTATTAGTCAGATATTTCAAAACAGGAAAAGATCATACAGGCAGCTGGGAAATAAGTCTGGTCACTTGCAGGGTTAGGGCACCGTAGGTTAATGTTACTAGTTCAACCAGGTAAAATCCGGCACAAACTAACTGGCAGCTCTACAGTCCCTGCAAGACTGAAGCAGGGATTGCATGGGGCCATACATAGAATGAATCTCACACGTACTGATTTTACATGCTTGCAGCTTTAGAATCCTCCCTGTTTTTTTATTTGTTTATGAGCTTAAAATGCTAATGTTTGCTATATTTTTTTAATTGTTTCTTTCTTTTTAGTTTTATAATTACATTTGCACATGGGGCAGCCATATTAGTTTTTTTTTACCTATTTAGGATTTTAAAGCAATTTGAAATAGTTGGTTTGGTAGAGCAGTAAAGACTGTTCATTTAGCAAAGTTCACAAAGTAAATAAAAAATGTAAAAGTTACATAATACTTCAATGTATAAACACTGCAATAATATCTCAAAATTTTTGTTTACTAAAATACACAGTACAGTCCCTTGGAAAGACAGATTGGATGTTTTACCCCCAGGCCCATCAAATGTGGAGATTTGCTAGCTCTCTGTGTGGCACTTGGTATTTTGTATTGGTGACCAGGGGCTTATATTGCTCGCCGAAGAATAGTCCCCTTTAATACTGGAAACCAGTGACTTACATTGAAGACTTAAAAATAGGCTCTCTTACCATAACCGCCTTATGAGTCCTTATAGACATAGTAAACTCTGACACACACACACCCCTAATAATAGACGGTAACATTGGTGTTCAATCTGACACTGATAAAAGTCACGTCATGCACATGCTTAATCGGCAAAGCTGTTTGAATACTCCAAAAATACAAAGGAAGTAGTCCTTACTTTTTAAAACCATTTTTTTTCAGGGGAAAGTGGAAACATTTTAGAGCCGAGGGGGGCTTTTTGAAGACCCCAACAAGGCCCAATCACTTCCCCTTCCCTGGACTCCACAGCAGTAACATGGGTTTCTAGGGCTATAGCTACAACCTTAGTAATTGAATTAGATTTAGTAAGGATGCAAGATAACACATCTTGTACTGTACTATGTGAAAAAGTTTATTTTAAAGGGGAGAATGATCTCTCAAGGTATGAGGTCAATTCAAGAGAAGTGAAGGGTTATCATTGTGAGCAAACATATTTGCTCAAATTTAAAAAAAAATCTGTGCTATATCAGGTCTGATAGATAAAAGAATTATATTACCTTTTCTAGTCATCTTTTCTTTATTTTTTTTCCTTATGCATTTTACCTGCAAATGTTTTATGCCAATTTTTCTCATTTATTCATGCATAGTGTTTGCTCAAAAAAAAATCTGTGCTATATCGAGTCTTTATTGTAACTGTAATGTCTTCCTTATATTGTAAAGCGCTGCACAAACTGTTGGCGCTATATAAATACTATGTAATAATAATAATAAAATAATTGTATTACTTTTTCCAGTCATCTTTTCTATATTTTGTTTTCCTGATATATTTCGCCTGCAAAAGTTTTATGCCAATTGTTCTTGTTTGATTTATTCAGTCATACTTTTATTCCAGTTCATTATTTTAAAATGACCAAAGGCTATTTTCTTTTAAAATTGGGCATTCTAGTTACTACCCTGGTAAAAAGTGCAACTTTATGTTTGAGAATAGAGCCATTGACGGAATTGTTGCGAAGATAACAATCTAAACGGATCGAGAATGATGCAGCTCCATTTACTTTACTGCCTCACTGGTACTTGCCTACAGACAGATTACAGTGGGGTCTCCTGGATACTATTAGGAGGGCTTGTGCCAAATGACGCTTACTGATGAATTGCTGCTACCTTCTCATCTAGTACATTACACATTTTCTGGTTGCTGTCCTTGGGACAAATTTTGGCCTTTGTGCCCTTAGAGATATCAACAGCCAGTGGGTAGTTCAGAGTCTACCTTTGAAAGAAATTTCATAGCAGGGGTTCTTAAACATTTTAATCTGAGGACTTAAATAAGAAAATTGTAGGTATACAAATATATCCGTAAATAATTATTGCACAGGAATACTAAAAGCGTTTTCACACATTCAAAGTCATCTAACATTTCTCCCAGCTTACTCCCCTTTTACAACATATATAAGTGACATTTTACTTGTCAGTATCAAGCATGACACTTGTATTTCATATTTTAGAAGGTACACTACTGGTATGTTTTACTATACCCCCTTTATATATTTCAGTTCCACAAAAAGCTAATATACATTGTTGCAATTGTATCCAGACACAAGTGCCCACTTTAATTTCAAATATTGCCATCCACTCTGATACTTAATATCCACTTTATATATTTAGCAACACGCAAGTATGTCATTCCAAATATGACTATCCTATCCCATTCACATTATATTTTCTTATTCTGAATATAAATGTCCGATGTAATTAATCAGATATATTAATGGACACAATTTGCACATGAAACTCAGCTGTTTGTTTGTTCTATATCACAAACTTCTCAACAATGTCCACTGCGTTTGGAATTACAAAAAGCTGCTGTTGCATTGACTAATACATACACCGTCACCATCGCACGTGTCAGTATGTGATTAATCACTTGAGACACCATGAACATCTTTTTTGAGGTTTGATAAATTGTAGACGTTTTATTGTACCTCATCGGCAGTAACGTTTACTAAGAGATCCAAAACGGCAATTTGGTTTGAACATTCTGCTGCTCAAATAGATTGTACACATCCTGTATTTTCAGCACTATCCAGTCCATCCATTTTATTCAACATTGGAAAGATTGTTACCCTAATACGACTCATGAAAAGTACTAATACCAAAATGTCAGCAAAGACCATTCCCAATAGCCACTGGTTCACATTATAAACGTTTTTCATCATTTCTGTAAGCTTTAGTAAAGCCAGGAGAAATAAATAATCAATTACACTCTCTTTTTTGACACTTTCACCTGGCATCAGGGTCTCTTTACCAAACTGCCTTGTTTACTGTTTGGTAATGTTATGCTGTCAACTAGGGATCCATTGATACCAATACTAGTATCGGTGTTGATACCGTGTATTTGGGCGAGTGAGAGTACTCGCCCAAATGCTCCAATAACGGAAAATTTCCTCTGACCGGCAGTGCTGTAGGGGAACATAGAGCTGGCTTCCTGGGCAATCAGGAAGCTAGGTCGCGAGTAATGACCCGCCTCCCGGCCTCCTGATTGGCCGAACAGCTGACTCCTGGTTGATTGGCTGAGAAGCCAGCTTCCCAGCCAATCAGCATTGAGCCGGCCTATTTGGTGGTTTAGTGGGAAGCCGGTTTCCTAGCCAATCATCATGGAGCTGGCTTCCCAGCCAATCGGGAAGCTGGGAGGCGGGTCATTACTTGCCTCCTGGCTTCCTGATTGGTCAAGGGGAAGCACCGGTATGGGTGAGTAGCGAAAGCAAAATATTGGTACTAGATACTGAAAAACCAGTATCAGTGCATCCCTACTGTCAACCATGGTAGTTTGTTTTACAAGTTTTGAGAGCGGTGTTGTGGGCGGGAATATATGTTACATTTTTATCCCATAGAAACAAACACTCTCATGACACATTCACTACATTGTTTATAGGCTATGTCACTGAATGAGTTAGTATACAATTTGGAAGAGATGATTAAAGTGTGCTTTCTCACTTGACACTGATTCTACATATGGACAAAGTAGACTACAATAACTGCACAGTCATGTGGTGACCCATCACAAACACTACTCAATTTGGGTGCCAACTCTTAGTTTAAGAAGCACTGATGTATAGTATGTAACAGCATGCCAAATCCATATTACCACTATTCCAAATTAGAGATGTTTGCAGGGATAATTTGAGGGGCAATTCTTGTACCCTCTGTAGAAATCAGGGACAGCTTGGAGATCTTGGATGTATGGTGCATGTGACATCTTGGTTAAAAAAATGGTTATAAGGTTCTGCCATCTAATAAACCTCGGATTAGGAGGTCATATGGCTGATTTCAGTTTTCCCAGCTAAATAAACTCCCTTGCCAAGATTTACAATGGTCAAGAAAAGTAGACTCTTTCACCCCAAAACTGTGAAGCTTTTTCAGGTTATTCAAAATACTTTTGAAGACTTAATTTAGTCTGTTTTTAACTACTTTTGAAGAATGTTATGATACATTTCTGAAGAGTCGTTTTTGATTCCTGTTTTCAAAGTAAACGGAATTGGTAGTTTTTTTTCTATATGTTTTCTTTATTTATTATACCCGGAATAAAATATTTTTTTTCTTGGTTTAGTTAAAGTGCAAATAAGGGCTTCTGTATGACAGTATACACAAGTACCAAATCCAATTACTATGTGGTGCACAAACCTCATTAAGTAAACAATACTCTTCCCTTACCATCCTTGAGCCAAATCCTCCATTTGTAACTCACACGCTCCCCACTCTCAGACACTGCAGCTCACAGTGGGAGGGTTTCAACAACATAAGCAATGCAGTTAATCCAGAAAGCAGTGGATGGGGCTGGGTTTAGCCAGGTGCTGATAGACAATTACAGGCTTGTGAACCAGCAGTGATGGTGCTGAAAGCCACGTCCCCTTCAACGTCTTCTCATCCCATTGAAGTACACACAGACACAGCCTACATGAGAGTGACAATTCTGAATTCAGGAGCAGTGCAGCATCATTGCCACACCATCACAGGAAGTAGCATGAGTTGGACTCCACTGGCAGGATCAACAGGTATTTTTGGGAACTTTGCAGGCGGACTGAAAGTGCAGGTTCACTTATAATTAAGTGCTGCAGCATGCATTTTGAATGGGAAGCCCGAGTCCTATATGAAATATTGCATATTAATATATCGCATTCTTATTTCCAAACTGCTTAGCAGCGCTTTAGTCTCATTTCTACATGTTGCCCGGTTTCCTTTTGCCTCCTGTTGTAAAAAAA